GGGTACCGGCTGCGCCCGTCGCGGAGGAAGCCGATCTATCTCTTGTCCTTAGCGCGTCCCACCATGAAGCCCAACTTCTCCATGAGACTGAGGGTTTTTAACCTCAACTGCTGGTGAGTGCTTCCGCGGGGTGCGATCTGGGGCCGCAGGAGGAGGAGGCCAGCCTCACATCCCGTCCTACCATCTCAGGGGGCTGGGGGAACCCGCACCTCCAAAACCCACACCTGGCCTCCGCTAGTGGGTCGGAGGGCCGAGCACCCCAGCAGCCACCCCCCCTGGCCCCTCCGTCCTTAGGGCCATCCCCTACCTGAGCAAGCACCGAGCGGACCGCATGAAGCGCCTGGCGGACTTTCTGAACTTGGAGAGCTTCGACCTGGCTCTGCTGCAGGAGGTGGGCTGGGGGGAAGCCCGGTGGGAGGGGCGGTGGCTGCAGACTTTCCCCGAGGGAAGAGCCAGGCGGACTGCCTCCCTCCCCCCTGCCCCCCAGGTGTGGAGTGAGCAGGACTTCCAGTACCTGAGGCAGAAGCTGTTGCCCACCTACCCATCGGCACACTACTTCAGGAGGTGAGAAGCCTACTGGCCTGGACGCCGGTTCTCAGGCCGGAGGCTCTGGGCCCCGCCATCTCCACCCTGTCGGGCCTGCACCCGCCCTCCTCTTCCCCAGCAACTTTGGTCTGGGTGTGGAAGCGGGAGAGGGTGGAACCAGGAACATCCTAGCTCTTCAGCTCACCTTCGGCCTTATCATCGGGTCACCTTATCGTTCATCCCACAAGGGCTGTGGCTTTGAGCTGTGTTCTGGGGCTGGCCCCAGCACAGACAGAAAGAAGTAGCTGATAAGTGCTGAGACAAGGGACGGGAAGAGGACTGGTTCTTTCTCTTCCTGCTTTTCTGGCTGTTATTAATCAGGACTTGTCTTTCAGTGGCATCATCGGCAGTGGCCTCTGTGTCTTCTCCAAACACCCGATCCAGGAATTCACCCAGCATGTCTACACTCTCAATGGCTACCCTTACATGGTATGCCTGACCTCTGACTTCTGACCTCTTCCACCCCCCCCTTCCCCAGCCCTCACTAACACGGTAAAGGAGGCAGCTTCCTAGGACTGCAGGGATGGGCAGGAAGAGGGTAGCAGCGCCCTGAGTTCCTGCCCCCTCCTGCCTGCAGATCCATCATGGTGACTGGTTCTGCGGGAAGGCTGTCGGGCTGCTGGTGCTCCATCTAAGTGGACTGGTCCTCAATGCCTACGTGACCCATGTGAGTGAAGCGGGCGGGCAGTGCTGGGGGCTGGGACAGGCAGCCTGGTCCTGGAAGGGAGAGACGGGGCTCCTCTAGCTGGACCGCCTGGGGGTGAGGCCTGAGGGCAGGCTCTCCTAAAGTTAGTAGGCAAGGTTCACCCGCTTTTACCGAGCACCGTGCCAAGTGACAGACACAGGCTTAATGCAGACCTTCCCTTGGGACCCTCAGTCGCATCTGCTGTAATCTCACCTATCTTGCTCAGCTCCACGCAGAGTACAATCGACAGAAGGACATCTACCTAGCACATCGTGTGGTCCAAGCTTGGGAACTGGCCCATTTCATCCAGTGTGTGAGCCTGGGCTTGACAAGGGAAGTGGGATGGGGTCAGGGGCTGAGGGGTGGCCAAGGCCTCACTAATAGGACAGAGGCTGGCTAGGGAAGAATTCTTGGCCTTACTCACCTGGTTTCCCCAGCCATACATCCAAGAAGGCTGACGTGGTTCTATTGTGCGGGGACCTCAACTTGCACCCAAAGGACCTGGGCTGCCGCCTCCTGAAGGAGTGGACAGGGCTGCGTGATGCCTACCTTGAGACCCGGGACTTCAAGGTGAGGGACTTGCCTGATGATTTCCCCACCTGGAGGCCCAGCTTCTTTCCCTCTTCCCCTGCATCCTGGCACAAGCCAACTATTCACCTAGGGCTCTGAAGAAGGTTGTACCATGGTACCCGACAACTGCTACGTCAACCAGAAGGAACTGCAGCCATTTCCCTGTGGCATCCGCATCGACTATGTGCTGTACAAGGTCAGGCCTCTCCCCACGCTGAGTCTTCACCCACCGCGTCTCTTCTCTCACCAACCTGTGTGGTTCCTTTGTCCAGTTAGTCTAGTCTTAGTTCACTGATGACTGGAGAATGGGATAGCCAGGAGCTGGTTCTCTGGGAAAGCAATGTTCTCTCTCTGGCCTTTACTTTTCCCAGGCAGTTTCTGGGTTCTACATCTCCTGTAAGACTCTCAAAACTACCACAGGCCTTGACCCTCACAGTGGCTCCCCACTCTCTGATCATGAGGCCCTGATGGCTACTCTGTGTGTGAGACACAGCCCACCCCAGCAGGACCCAAGCTCTACCCATGGTGAGCCACCCCCACCCTTTCCTTTGGTCCCTCCCCATCACAGGGCAGCCCTTCCACGCTGACCCTCTCTTCTGCCCCACTGCCCTGCCCTGTTCTAGGAGCAGCAGAGAATTCACCATTGGTCACTGTGCTAAGGGAGGCTTTGACAGAGCTGGATCAGGCTGTGGCTCAAGCTCATCGGTGGGCCACCTGTGCTGGCTACGTGATTGGTCTGGGGCTGCTTCTCTTGGCAGTGCTGTGTAGCCTGGCAGCTGGAGGTGGGGTCAGGGAAGTTGCCATACTGCTGTGGACCCCCAGTGTAGGACTGCTGCTGGGGGCAGGTGCAGTCTACACCTTCCACATGCAGGAGGCCAAGGGCTTATGTAAGGCCCGGGCTGAGCTCCAGCATGTGCTGGGAAGGGCAAGGGAGGCCCAGGACCTGGGTCCAGAGTCTCAGCCAGCCTTGTCCCTGGGTCATCAGGAGGGGAACAGGGCTGAGGACCAATAAAGCTTGGCACTTGGATGGCTCTGCCTTTTTTTCTTGTAGAGGCAGTGATTGGGGCCAATGGTCACTGTCACGGTCACAGTGTAGACCAGTGATGGCGAACCTATGACACGTGTCAAAAGTGACACGCGAACTCATTTTTTTGGTTGATTTTTTTTTTGTTAAATGGCATTTAAATATGTAAAATAAATATCAAAAATATAAATCTTTGTTTTACTATGGTTGCAAATATCAAAAAATTTCTATATGTGACACAGCACCAGAGTTAAGTTAGGGTTTTTCAAAATGCTGACACGCCAAGCTCAAAAGGTTCGCCATCACTGGTGTAGACCTTCAGGCTCCTTCCTACACATCTGCTCTCCCTACACATCCCACCTCCCATCTGCGGGCAGCCTCAGTCCTGTGGGTGGCAAACACATTTTTATTGTCAACAATGAGGCCCTCTCCCAGGCAGCCCAGATGAGCAGGGTGGCACTGTCCTTGGGTGGGATGGTCTTTTAGGGAGGAAGGCAGGTAGCCCACCCTCCTCTAGCCCTGGGCCTCTGGCCCTGATGCCAGCTCGCTGAGCCGGCACTCCTCCTGGAAGCGGATGAGGGCATCTCGCTGGTTCACCACACTCACCAGCTTCTTCAGGATCATCTCCTCAGCCTGCCGGTCGGCAGCTGTCTTTAGGCTTTCTGAAGGGAGAAGACGAAGCTTAGAGAACTGGGCCGGGAGGCAAGAGAGGCACAGCCTACTCCTGGCCTGTGTGATTTCTACAACCTGACCTTTGTTTCCTAATCTGTAAAGTAGGTTGGTCAGCACCAGTGGTTTTCTAGCTTTGTTTCCCAGCGGCAGCCCAAATGCGCAGCTCTGATGGAACTGCAGGCAGAGTGGGGGCTGCTGTCCCTTCCTCTGGCGTCCTCGCGTTGGAGGGACTCTGACTAGAGGACTGAGATCACAAGGCTCCTACAAACTCCAGCCCCATGATGTCTGCCTCTCCCCACATCCTGTATACCTTCCCGGTTCATGTAGCCTCGAAGCTCCTGGTCCAGCTGCAGTTGTTTCTCCTCCAGGCTCAGCTCCTGTACCCTGTGGAGGGCAGGGATAGAAGGGGCACAGCGTCCATGGTGCCCAAGGACCTCCTGGGCCTGGCTCATAAGACACTGTCACCTCCCCATGTCCCTTACTTGATCATGAGCTCAGCCTCCTCAGCCACCAGGCTGTTTTTCTTCTCAACGAGGTGTAGCAGCTGTTTTATCCACAGTGCCTTTTGCTGTTCCGGGGAACCTGATGAGAAAGAAGAAGAGGAACGGGTGGTCCGGAGGCCTCCAACCAGGGCCATAGGAGTCCTGAGCCTGAGGAATGGAACCAGCTGTGGGCCGGAGCCTAGTGGTTTGGGGGATCGCTGGGAGCTGTACACAGTGCCAGAGGCAAAGGGGTACCCCAAGCGTATCCTCCCCCCAGCTGCACTCACTGCTCTGGTTCCTCAAGGCCAGCTCCACCTTCATCCCCTCGGCCTCCAGCTCCCTCAGAGCAGCCTCAATCTCATTCAGTCGCCGCTGGATGCTCTGAGGAGGACAAGACGAGACCCAGAAGTCTGGATTGTTCAAGAACGGAGCACTGGCGAAGCTCTGGTCCCCAGCCTCACACTGAGCCCATCAGAACTGGGAAGCCCTAGTCCCACCTGGGCCTTGCAGAACCTCTTCATCTCCTCCTCCTTAGCACGGCGCAGCAGGGTCCGCCGCCAGGTGGGGTACTTGTCCATGGTGCCTGAGTTCTTGGCGAAGGTCAGCAGAGCCTACAGCGGGTCAGACCAGTCAGGGGCAGGGCCTGGCCTCTTGGTGGATAGGGGTTGGGGGAGATTGGTCTGGAAGGGGCCAAAAGGAACCTGGGCTGGAAGGAGGGTGAGTTCTGGTAGAAAAGATGGAAGCTTAGAGCCATGAGAGTCAGACTGGGTGAGAAGACCTTCCAAGAACAGGGTTCAGAGGCGTGAACAGCTGTGGGTTTCTCCTGTGGCGGGGGGTGGGACGGCGTGAGCAGAACAGGGGGCCAGGTTTCTTCTACTCACCTGTTCCATGTCTGAGTCCAAAGCCACGTCTTCCTTTTCCTCTTCTTCCTCTTCACTGGAGGAGGGGCTCCCTTCTTCCTCCTTCTCCATGGCCATAAGAACTGAGCAGAGAAGTAGACATGACCTGGGGTCCCCAATCTCCCTTTCCATTCCCCAGCATGCCCCTCCAGGAATCCCAGCACCACCTGCCATCCCCACCCTGGGTCAGCACCTCTGGGCAGAGCAGTTACCTTGAGGGCTCTGGATTGGCACTCCCCATCCCAGGAAGCTTCCCTCCAGGGCCTGGCGGGCCAAGGCAGAGCAGCTGCGGGGGGGCTTGGGTGGAGGCTTCATTTCCGGGTCAGGGGTCAAATTAAGGGAGGACAACCTCTCGCGTTCTGGGCTGGAGAGGCGGATCGGCCGACGGGTGGGCTGGTTGGGGCTTGGGACAGAACTGGTCCCCTCCTGGGGGGCCACGGGAGTCGAGGGGCCGGATGGCATGGGGAGGTCCTAGAAAAGCCACCGTGTGGTCTGGTCAGTGACCTGCCCAGTGCAGGGTTGAGGCTACCCCTTTAGACAAATGTGGGCCCTGGAATTCATTCATTTACTGGACAGTGTCTGACAGTGCTCTGAATACTTGGGCTGCAGCAGTCAGTGAAACAACAGAAATCCCTACCTACATTCTAGTGGGGAACATTCAGTTACCCCGGCAAAGTCCTCTGGGCTTAATGCGACGCTGTTACGTTCCCACCCCCAGCACACTCGCAGCTTTTACCTGACTCCTGGGGCCCCTGTCCTTGCCCTCTGTGTGACGTGGCTGGGGCAGGTGCTGGAGGCAGTAGAAGTGTCCTGGGGAGGGCAGAGAGGGGGAGAGGCATCAGATGGAGGCAGCACAATGCCCAGAGGCTCCATTTATCAGGGAGGTGGGGTGACAGGACTCTGGGTTTGCAGGTGAACTTCCATTAGCCTCCTGGTTCCTTAGAACCCCACATTTGGGGCTTTGGAGGAGACAGAGATATGAGCTCAGGGGAACCAAGTGCCATCTTGAGGCTGTTTCCACTTCATGCCCAGCACTCCAATTCCCCTCCACCTTCCAACTCCTTGCCTCCAGGCAGGGCCATGCCCAAAGTCCCTCTCGGGGCCTCCTGGGCCCACTCACCATCTTCTGGGTGCTGTCCGTAGCTACCTGGCCACAGTGTGGCCTCACAGACATGGCAGCAGAAGCAGCTCCGGTGGTAGAAACGGCCGTCGGCACACAGGCGTTCCAGGATATAGAGGCGTTCCCCACAAAGTGCACACAGGTCCTCGCCACCAGCCTGCACCCATCCCCATGCCACAGGGTCAGCTGGAAAGCTCTCCCCTATCCCTGAAACCCCCTCCCTGACCCCAAGCCTCTGCCTGCAGGCAGGGCCCCATTCTCACCTCCTGGTGTGAGGGGGGTGTCAGGGGTACACCAGCCTCTGGGACAGGTGGCTCCTCAGTACTGGGGGACTCGGCCTCTACCTAAGGAGGTAAGTGTTCAGGCCGGGAGGTAGAGGTAGAGGCAGGATCAGCTGGGGAGTGGATGTGTGCAGATGAATAGGAAGGGCTGGAAGGGAAGTGAGACTAGGAAGGGAGACTACAGAGGGGTGGGCGGGGGGAGCAATACATGGGGGCACAGAACATGGGGACGTGTCCCGGGAAAGGGACCGGAACATGGGACAGGGGACTGTCCAGCCCTTGCATGTATTTACCTCCAGGCGTGGCTTCTTGCCACCTGCATCCTCCCCGTTTTCCTGTAACAAGTCCTACACTCAGCATGGGGCTCTGCACCACCAGTCCTCCCCTTCCCCCCAGTGACCCCCACTGGGAACCACTGCCCAGACCACCTGGGCCCGGGTCCGTTGCAGGGTCCTCTGCAGTTTGCCAAGGAACAGTACAGCACTGGAGGTCCCCAGGGCGCCTTGGCTGGCGGGGCCTGCAGGGAGAGTCGGGGTATAAGGGTAGATGGGCCATACTGTGCCCCCAGAATAGACCAACCACACTCCAGCCCAAAGGGACACCTCTCCCAGGCTGTCCCTCAGAAGGCATCCTCCTCTCTCTCTCTCTCTCTCTCTCCCTCTCTCTCTCTCTCACACACACACACACACACACACACACACACACCCCTCCTCGTCTCACCCTCCAGCTCACCTGGGCTGTGGCCTGTGCTTTTGAAGGCACTGTGAAAGTGGCTGAGGTAGGCGATGAGGCCCAGTGGGTCACTTCCTGCCACCACTGCCTGTGCGGACAACACGGGTGTGATGCCCAGTTCATGTTCTGCCATCTTCAGCGCCCAGCCAGTCGCTTCCAGAGCCCCAACTCCCTGCAGCTCTGAGGGTTCCCTGTGGGTATCAGGAGAGTAGCCAATGGGAGACCAGAACCTGACCCCATCAGAGGGGGAGATGGTGGGTATAGGGACGGTGGGAAGGGCTGGGGGAGTGCAAAGGCAGAGGGCGGAAGGGTTCTTTTCTGTGCTATACTGCCGCCACCACCACCACGATCCCAGGACAACCTCTGGCTTGGGGATCTCTACCACTCACAGAGCTGCCCCTGTTGAATGCATTTGATTCTTATAAGATTCTCAGGCAGGAGGGCAGGCAGATTCAGGCAGGAATACTATCCCTGGGGAGGGGAAGTGACTTGGGCAAGTGGTGGCGCTGGGACTCAACTGGGTGTGCTAACTCCCGCACAGTGATCTGCCCACCACTCCATACTGCCTGCAGTAGAGGGAGGGGCAGAGGTGTGAAAGAGAGATTGGTCTGCCAGGGACCCCTGAGCCTCATTTGCAACTCACAGCAGGCCAGGCCGCAGCCGGTTCACCAGGGCACACAGAGCCAGCCCATCAGCCCAGGAGGAAGAAAGGTTGGTGACATGGACACCAGGGTAGCCAGCCGTCTGCTCCTGGCACCAGCGTAGCAGTTCCTCCTGTGTGCCCGCTGACCCTGGGAGAGGAGGGTGTGCTGTGCCC